CAGGACGCGTTGCGCGGCCCGGGCCGGAAGTCGGCGAGTTCCCGGGCGTGTGTCGGTGTCTGTGTCTCCTATCGGCGCGCGGCCCGGGACGATCGCGGGGGATTCCCGTCCGTAGGCGTCACCACTGTCACCACCATCACCCACGGAGCCGCTTCCAGAGCGCGGGAGACCCGGCCCTTCGCCGGGCATTGAAGATGTTGCCCCTGTCCATCAAGGACGATGAATACAAACCACCCAAGTTCAATCTGTTGGGCAAGATCTCGGGCTGGTTTAGGTGCGGGGTGCCTTGTGTGCGGGGTAGTGGGGACAAGGCCCAGGCCGAAGGGTGGTCCGAGGTGCAGGGAAGGGGGTCCTAGGGACACCCTCACTTGGGCACTGGGAGGGTCTAGAGAGGGGCCCCGGCGTCCGGGTCCCGGCCCCGCTTGGACTCGCGCGCTCTTGCCCACTTTGTCGTGCCCAGGTCGATCCTGTCGGACAAGACGTCTCGGAACCTGTTCTTCTTCCTGTGCCTGAACCTCTCTTTCGCTTTTGTTGAACTCCTCTACGGCATCTGGAGCAACTGGTAACCGGAGGGGGAAGGGTTGGGGCGGAAGCCGGGGCGGCGGAGACCGGGCTCTGTTTGCTGAATGCCAAAAAAAAAGTGACAAGTCCCCTCCTCATTTGGGCAGATGGAGAGTCTGCCCACATCCCTTAGCGTCTTTGTCCACTTCCTTGGAATTGGGAGAAACCTGATTCCTGCCTCCCGGGGGAGTGTCCTTGCCTGTCTGGGGGGGAGTGGCCCTTGGATTTCATCCTTAAGATTCAGAGAGGGATGCCCAAGATGTTCTGCTTACTTTGTTGTTAGATCTTGGAATGGGGAAGAGGTTTACACGGGGGACATCTGGACAGACGCGTGTCATCTCTTCCACTCACCTCTCTCTTTAATTTTGTGCTGAAACTGCCTCAGGATTTCCCTCTGGTCTGGCCTGCAGTCGGGAAGCCCACAGGGTTTTCCAAAAGCTTACCCCTCACGGTGTTTGGTGGTACCTTTGTTGTTGTTTGTTCGTTTTTTAACTGCTTTGGGCAGAGGTATATCCCGTGGAACTCTGGAAGTGAAATACTACTATCTGGTTGTTTGCTGTTGAGTAACTTCAGGGTCTTATAAAATTGTTCAACCAACAATACGGTCATCACACTTCTGGGTGTACTGATTGGTCTTTATGTCTCCTATCCATTGGAGAATCTGATGAGAGCCAACCCTCAGCCTTTTATACAAGACTTCAGCGTGGTCTCGGGTTCCTCGACGTAGCTCGGGGACCCCCAGTAAAGAACCTGTGCCATCTATGCTTTGTGTTCTGTTCATTAAGCAGACGTGGTCTCTGTTCACTAAGGTCCATTTTCACAGACAGTCCTTGAGCTTTCTCGCTGTGGAAATTGAGCAATGACATTAGATAATATCACCGGTTTGGTGACATGTATACTTTTATATGAAAAGTGGACTACTTTTCAGTGCAAATGTGAATGCAGTTTTGTCAGTAACACTCAGCAAATGATGAAGGTCATCGTTGAGTGACCACTTGGATATTAACTGCATATCGAAACATGGTCACATCTCAGTATATGTCATAACCATGTTGAGTCCGCTGGGAATCAGATGTATGTGCCCTGTAATGTTAACCCCCTTCAATGTATTGTACATGTTAAGAGCGCTGTATAGTTGACCCTTGAACAACATGGGTTTGAACTATGCAGATCCACTTACATACAGGTGGTTTTCAACCAGTATGTGCAGCACTGTAAATGTATGTTCTCTTCTGATTTCCTTAATAATATTGTCTTTGCTCCAGCTTACTTTATGGAAATAACCCAGTATATCATAATATAACACATGTGTCAACTGACTGTTTATGTTACTGGTAAGGCTTCCGGTGAATAATAGGCTATTAGTAGTTAGACTTTAGGAAGTCAAAGTTAAATGCATTTTTTACTGCATAGGAGGTGGGTGTCCCTAACCTCCCTGCTATTCAAGGGTCAACTGTATTGTCTTCTATTGGAATAATCATCATTTATTATAAATATACAATATTTATATCCTTTATTCTTCCTACATTATGCCATATTGTGGCATATGTACTGACTGTATCAAGACTATCTTGGTTTATATATGTAGAGTTTTGCCACAGTTACTTTCTATTACAACACATTATATTTTACTGTGGCCTACCATTGCATAAATTGCTATGTGAAATGTCTTGTTCAGTGGATTCATATTTGAAGTGCATAGATTGTCTCTTTCATGGAAAGTCATTTTAGATAGTAATTCTTTTGGTCTGTAGAAAGCTATTGAGAAAATTATGAAAACCTTGGATTTCCAAGCTGTTGTCGAAAGTCACCAGTACGTAAGGAGAACGTGAGTGGTACGTGACTTGTTCTTCTGTGGCTTGCTCTCCTGGCCTAAGGCTCTCTTCTCAGATTGTCCAGATATGTTCTAGATTTGGAGTCTAGCACTGACCCAGTGTCTGTTATACCCAGCTCAGGTAGCTGGTATTCCTCTTCCTGTTCACCGTCACATCCACAACCACAGCTCCCCATGTTTAACTTTTATCAGTGCGCTGGGAGTACAAATGTGTTCCCATTGAAGCGCTGGCAGATTTAGAAAATGCGTGGGCCTTTTCGTAATCTGGCTTTCTATGTCTTCTTTAGATACCACAATTTTTAGTTCCCTTTGTTGACGGATCAACAGTTTCTTTATGTGACTGGATTATCTCTGTTTCTGAAGGTCCCACAAGAATTTTAAGTTCTTAGAGTGAATTTCTCACGGGAACTTTGTCATTGTAATATCTGTTCATTTTCATTCTGGAATAAGTAAGTCTCAAGATGTTGTGAACATGAAATGTCAAGAAATTTTTTCTGTTTGGAAGAAAGATGAATAAAATATACTCATTCTTCGCAAGTGAAGGTTCTTAGAAGCAGTTGATCTTGTTGCAGCATTCTGGTTCTTGTTCAGAACCTTCATTTTAAAGTGAAAACTTAATTAGAGTTGATGTATATTTTTGAGGATGAGACTGTACCCTCAGTGGAAGAATAGATAACCTCTTTATTTTCCCCACATTAAGTGCCCATTGCCTTTCAGCTTGCCACTAGAATGTAAACTGTATTAAAGGAGGGATCTTTTATCTAATTCGGGCACCTTGCCCATGGTACATAGGATGCCTGATACATATTTGCTGAGTGAAAGAATGAAGGAACAATGAATGTATGGAATTAATCTACCTGTACTGTTCTTCCCCCCTCTCCTTTTCTTCTTGATCATATTTCATTGCTGTCTTTCTGGAAGATTCCTTCCTGATGAGCAGAGCTGACGCGTAGGTTTTTAGAGAAGGATGCCTCCTGTTTGGTTACTATTCTAATACGCCACCATGTTTGTTCTTTTCCAGCTTAGGGCTGATTTCCGACTCTTTTCACATGTTTTTCGATAGCACTGCCATTTTGGCTGGGTTGGCAGCGTCTGTTATTTCGAAATGGAGAGATAATGATGCTTTCTCTTATGGGTAAGACTTTTTAAAATCCTTTTTGTTGACATGTAAGAAACACAGAAAAATACACAAATCTCAAGCTCAAAGAATTTTCACTAATCGAACACACTTAGGGAACTTGAACCCTTGAATCTCTTTTGTCTCCTCCTGGTTCCTTCCCACAGGCGACCACCATCCTGACTACATGGGGTAGTGGCGCCTGGTTCTGAACACTGTATCCCTGTCATCTACAATATTTACTTCTTTTGGGGTTTTTTTTTGCATCTAAGTTTTTTTGGTTAGGGGTAAGGCATCTTGATTTTACCCAATATTTGTAGGTGAGATTGTTACTAGGTAAGGGAATTTCTCAACACTTAACCTATTTTTTTGAAGCAGATGAAAAAGTAGAAGTTGTAGCCTATGCAAATGATCCTGTTTCTTTGTTTTTAGGAGGACATTTTGCTGTTGATTTATTTAAAAATCATTCTTTTTCAATATGGTTTCATGTTACATATCCTCTTCAGCTCTGCTTTTATGTACAGTCCTTCCCCTCTGGCTGAGTTTGGAGAGTGACTCAATTATTCCGAGGGTGTTTTCACACGGGAGGGTCATGCCCCCAAGCCTGGGGCCCTGAGGGGCAGAGCTGGCTTTTTGCATCTCTGCTGGAAGCCGAGGTGGTCCCGTTATCTGATGGACTCTGCCTGTGGGTTTTTTTTCTTAGCTTATAGGACATTCTGCAGGGTAATTACATCCATGTGTCAGAGGCGGTGAGAACCTGTATCCTCTTCCTCTCTCCTGCCCGCTTTCTCTCTGCCCCCTCTGCCTGCTCCCTCTCTCACTTCTTCCTGTCCCTCCCACCTCCCACCTTCACAGTCTCCCCTTTCTTCACTATCTTTCTGGTCACTGGGCCTGTGTTTGCTCATTCCTTCTCCCCTCACAGCCTTTTCTTCCTCTTCTCTACTGCTCTCTCCCTTTTGCTCTGGCTTTTCGCAGTCTGTCCTTCCTTCTTTCACTGATTCCCTTGCCTTGCAGGTGCAGGACCTCCATGCTCTCCCTCCCCTGCTCCATCCACCCTCCTCCAGCATGCTCTGACTCCTGCTCCCTTACCTCCTCCTTCTGCCCGGCTTTGCCTTTGCTCTGGAGCAAGCATCCTCTGCTTCTTGCACACCCTCTGTTCTCTTCAGATGCCTGAGGGCCACTGCTTTGCTCCTCCAGTGATAGAAAGATGAGGAAGATGTAGCACCTGCCTTGGGGAACCTGGGGTCTGATGGGGGAGCAATTCTGTAAAAACAGTAACTGCACATTTGACAGGTGCTGAAGGATGGAGTCTAGGACAGAACTTGCTGATTCGGGATATCACCAAAACATTAGGTTCCTTGTAAAATTATAAAAAGCGAGACAAGAAACACTAATCAGACTATTGTTATAGTAGGAGCAAGAGATCTGCTATAGCCAGAGCCCCAAAGAGCCTGCATGCTCGGAGAGAACATGTGCCCTGACGCCATAAAATCTTAAGTCCACTTTGGGTCATTAAAGAAAGCTACAGAAAGCGGTATTCTTGATGCTCCTATTATATGGTTTAAGGACCAGAGTGATTAACTGCTGTGAGCGCCCTTTGAAATATGTTTGGACAAGTAAAGCTGCCAAGTTCAAGTTGTTCCTAACGATTAGGCCCGAGATGCCTCTTGGTAAAGAAACCCTTTCCCCGCCGCCTCCCACGGGCAGGAGGCAGGAGGCGTCAGAAGTCCGTGGGGAAGGGGCAGAATTTTAAAAACTAGTTCAATTAGAATCACGTGAAGCTAGAGTTGATTCTAAAAATAGGTCGTTTGCGCTACATTTCTTAATCTTAGAAAAAGAGTGATAGGAATAGAAATCTCAAGTGGTTTCAGGGATACTTGAGAAATAATTTTAGTTTCCTTCAGATCAAAGCTCCACTTTCCAAAGATTTGAAAGCTGAACAGCACAAAGCAGAAGGCCTAAGGCGAGAAGGAATTAATAAGTCACAAAACCCCTCTTTTCAGGCTCTTTTCTTCCACTTTTTTTCTTGGGATTCTTCTTTGCCTATTTAGTCCTGCTCTTCCTGCTCCAGTGACAGCTGGTTCACATTTCTGGGGACGGTCTTTCTACACCTCCTTACTCCACGGTCTTCTGATTGCTGTGAGGAAATCCATGTATTTTCTGCTATTCAACATAATTCATAATATTTAAATTCATGTTCTTGTTTTCATCATATATGTACAATAAAACATACTGCACTGTAAATACTGGGCTTTGCTGGCCGCTTATAACCGTATAAAGTGGTTTAGCGTCATCGACATGCGTAGATTTACTGGTTGATCTGTAAGAAATGACCTAATAACCCCGTTGTTTCCTTTGCTCCCTAGGTATGTGAGAGCGGAAGTGCTGGCTGGCTTTGTCAATGGGCTGTTTTTGATCTTCACTGCCTTCTTTATTTTCTCAGAAGGAGTTGAGGTATAGTAGATAATGATTAGAGCCAGTAAATTATATATGCAAGGAAGATGTTTATTCACTAAACACACATGTAACAGAGCTGTTTTTCACACGATTATTAAGTGTTGAGGACGGCCTCGGGTTACAGGAGGAGCTTACACAATAGTTGAGAAAAATTAAGTAGATGTGCAGCTACTTGGAATGGAGAGCAAATAACCGTGCTTTGCAGGTGCGAGTGAAGTGTTGACCCTGGAAAGTACAGGCGCAGCACGGGCGGGGCTGCGGGAGAGCTCTTAAGAGAACCGAGTTCTGCCGGGCCCTTCGCACTCGGTGCTTGAAGACAAGAAGACTTAAAGGGGGAGTGAACTTGAAATGAGCGGCAACGCTTTAAATGCCACGAAGGAGGGGCTTCAGGCCAAACGGTCATGCTTTCCAATACTTGTGTTTAAAACAGCGAGTGTTACCTTTCCTGCAGTGTGTGAATATGGTTTTATTCCGACGTATGGCTTTGGCAGGTATTTTTGGAGGGATTTCTCATTCTGAAAAGAACTGAACGTTTTCTAAAGTGGCTTTTTGCTCCCACCCGTTGACCCCTCGGAAGTCACCCCGGTGAACCTTGTCTTGTGTTTTCCAGAGAGCGCTGGCGCCGCCCGACGTGCACCACGAGCGGCTGCTGCTGGTCTCCGTCCTCGGGTTCGTGGTGAACCTGGTGGGGATATTCGTGTTCCAGCACGGAGGCCACGGGCACTCGCACGGCTCTGGTATGCGGCCGGGCCCTCTGTTTCCTCACTTCCTGTTTCGGTCACAGCGACTCACTTTTCAAAACTGATCATTTTCCAAGTCAAACTTGGACTTTTAATAACAAAAGTAATGTGAATAGGCTCTTAGTAATGTCTTCCACTTCTCCGTGCCCCTCATTCGACAGTAGCACCTGTTCCGTTACACGTGCTCCGATTTGGGTGTGGGTCCTTCCAGACCTGTGTAGCTCATCTGTTGATTATGACACCATTTATATAACACAGACAGACAAACATCAAAACCACAAAGCAACTCTAGTTACTAAAAAATTATAGTGTATGTGGGTTTGAATTTACTATAATCTGCTCTTCAGATCCTCCCATTCGCCTGTCTTGGCCCCCCTTCTCTCGTGAGCAGCCATACAGAACTCCAGAGAGTGGGTCCCCTAGTTTCAGGTCTCGTAGGGGAAGTCCTGTCTCTGGATTTTCCAGGTTTTTTGGAGAGTGACTCAATATATATATTTTTTATCACCTTGTCAAGTTTTATGAAACATCTTGGAATTTTGACCAGAAATTCATTGTCTGCGTTTGTGAAAAATGGACACAACTCAGATCAAATTTCATGTTCATGTGAAATTCCATGTCCTTTATTAAATTGTCTTAGGCATTTTAACAGAAATATTTTTCATTGGATTCATTTTTAAGTATTCGAAAGTTTTTATCCCCATGAAGAATGATAAGTATAATTCCTGCTTGTCTCATTGCACAGTCAGGACCTCTAGCACAGTGTTGATGAGAAATACTTCTAGCTTTTTTCCTTGCGCCAGCCTTCATAACCATCTGGGTAGCTTTTTACAAAACGCTGATGCCAGGTTTAACCTCAGAAAGTTTGCGTGAGAACCTCGGGAGGAAGCAGCCCGTATGCCTGACCCTGTGCCCTCAGCGGGACTGCGCAGCGGGCGTGGCGGAGGAGCACCGCGGAGTGCTTCATTCCGAGCTGTTCCCGGGGCTGGCATCTGGGCTTCGTTTCTGATCACACTGCGTTACCAGCCGGAGGATATTCCTGCGTCTATTTTATGATAATGTTTCCCTCCTTCAGTTAATTTAAAATTAGTAACTGCATGAGTAGATTTGCTGGTGAGGACCCATCCTTAAATTTTGGAGTTAACTGTACCCATTTAAGACTATATTTAGGTCTGATCCGTTTTGAGTCCATTTTTGTGTGTGGTGTGAGGTATGGGTAACCAATTGTCTTATATGTAGGTAACCAATTGTCTCAGCGCCATCTTCTAAAAAGGTGATTTTCCCCCTGAATTGTCTTGTCATTCTTGCCAGCAATCAGTTGACCATAAATGTGAGAGTTTGTTTCTGGACTTTCAGTTCTGCTTCAGATCTACTGTAATCCTGGAGTTGGGTTTAAAATAGCAATATGTGACTTTTCTACTTTATTCTTTTTTTTTAAGGATTGTTTTGGCTATTCCGGATCCCTTGTTGAATTTCCATATAAATTTTAGGATCTGTTTGTCAATCTCTGCTTTATTTCCTTCCTGTACTGTGTGGTAGGAACTCAGTGTTATTCTAATGAATCAATAACACTTTACAAGTAAATGTTTATGAACTTGCGCCTGGTTTTAGAGCTAGTTCTTTTGCTGACGTCAGTGTTACTGTAACCATTAACGAACATATTTTCACACGCCTTTTGTTCTAACGCTATTCATAGGCCATGAACACAGCCATTCCCTCTTTAACGGTGCTCTGGACCAGGCCCACGGCCACGGGGACCATTGCCACAGTCCGGAACTGAAACACGGCGCTGCGCACAGCCACAACCACGCGCACAGCCATGACCATGGACACTTCCACTCCCACTCCCACGGTGAGTGCAGCCTGCGGCCTCCCTCACGCAGACCTGGGCAGAGGTCTCTTCCTGGTGAAAGGGTCTGTTACAGTGTCGCAGTCGGCTTCCTTTCCAGCGAACCAGCCTGGTTCCCACGCCAGTTCTTTTTTAGTGTGTGGTGAAACTGGCGTGGGATCAGGCAGTGGATAGGGCTTTTTTTCAGGGAGTATCCTATCTAATAATAGAGAAACATGGTAATTAACCATAACTTCGTTACCCTTCCCATTGGCTAATCAGTGAGATATGCAAATTAACTGCCAACCAAGATGGCGGCTGGCAGCCAGGCAGCTGAAGCGAACAGGAGGCTTGCTTGCTCCAGTGACGGAGGAAGCCAAGGTTTCCCGCCTGCTGCTGCCAGCCTGTGAGCTTGCACTCTAAGCAAATATGTTACAATTATAGAAGCTAAGCAAACCCCATGCTTTCAGCCAGCCGGCCGAGCTGGAGCTGCAACAGTGTTTCAATTATAAAACCCAAGCAAAACCAGATACCT